TTCAAGCCTTTAAGACCCCGGATGCTATATCTTTTGATAGCTGGGCACCATCAGCTGTCTTCACCACATTTGCTTATGCACCCATTTTGTCTTCAGCAATTGTATTGGGAAGGTGACCATCACAGAATGCCGGGTTAGTAGAACAAAGTGTTCTTGCATTGAGGGAGTACTTGAGTGGAGGCCCAATGTCCATCTGCTGCCTTAATACTTAACAAATAAATATATGTACATAGATCTGTTTCCCTGTTGTTATATACAAATGCATTTACATATGTGCATACCTGTATTTAGACCTCTGTTAACGCCCTTTGCCTCCTAGTTCTTTCCTCTATTTCCTTTTACTTTCCTCTTGTCCCACTATCATATTTGGCCTTCATTTGGGTTTCAGTAATTCCTCTTGGCTGCATTGCCCTTGATCATGCCCCACCAGGCATCCTATGACCTCCTTGCCATCGATTTTAGATCACTTGTTTTTCTCTTGTCCCTGGGTTTGTTGGTACCTCCCTTCCTTTTCCTGCCATTGATCCTGGTTGTTTTTTCCACCAGATTGTTTATCCCACCTTTCTTATCTAGATAGACATGCAGCGACAATAATGAACACAAAAACAAGACAAAGCAAAACATAACAAAAGAAAAAAAAACAGCAACAAGAAAACAAGAAAAGCCTATAAATAGTTCAAGGTCTGTTTGCTGACCTTTAGGAGTATTTTTTTGGTGGAGTCTGATGGGGTGCCACTCCCTGGCCCCAAAGTCTGATTTTGGTATTCCCCCGGGATTTCATTGCTTTGCTCCCCTTGCTGCTCTGTTGTCACCCTTAGTGTTTTGCCCTGATGTGGTGGAGTCAGATCAGGCACAATTCCCACAGTGTGTCTCCAGTTTTGTCCCAATAGCACTATGGGTCAGTGAGGGATGTCGTGTCTCATGGTCGGGCAGGCCCTATGTTCCTCTCTGTGCATTGGCAGGTCTGAGCAGGAATATCATCCTGGGCTTGGTGGGCCAGGAAGTATACCACTCGCTCACCCCTCTTCCTTTGCTCCTGATCGGAAGTGTCCCTCTCCCTGAGCTGCAGCTTCAGTGCTGTCCCCTGAAGTACTACATTCTTTGGGGTAGGGGTCTGGGGGGGCGTGTCCACATGGTTGGGATTGGGGCTAGCCCCACTATAGTAGTTATTTAATTCATATTTCCAATGGGAACAAGTGCAAAATCTGTTTAGCGCACATAGTCACTCCAAGGGCAGTGAATTATTTAACGTGGCTCTTGTAGTCAAGGTTGTCAGCAACTAATACCTCAGACGTGAATAACTGATTCCTTCTTGGTTGTCTGTTCTTGAGCTGAAAGCTGAAACCTGTTCACTCTGGGTGACCCTGCTGACATTTGAAATACCAGTGACATCGCTTCCAGCATCACAGAAACACACAAGACACACTGACAAGACAAGTGAGCAAATCTGTCTTGGAAGAAATACAGCCAGAGTGCTCCTTAGAGGCAAGGATTGTGAAACTCCGTCTCACATATGTTGCACATGTTGTTAGAGACCAG